CTTAAGTTTTAGACGACTAGGTAACTGATTCTGTTATCTCTGCCAAAGCATATTGTTTTATTCCTTTTTAACCCTGAAGGTCAATCCCATCTAAGGAGTTTTTAGAGACCTTAATTGTGCTAGAAAGACAGCCCTGTACCTGTCAGCATCATAAATACTCTTAGCTATATTAGTTATTAACTTTGCCTTTCAGGAAATGAGATTAATATCTGATCTATGAGTTTGCCAAGTTCTAGCTATTTCACACTAATAAAACAATCACAAAAATAACTAAGAGTTTATATGTGGCATATTTCCAATGACAGAATGCAAAGGAATTAACAATAATTAATTGGGAGTCTAGTTACACATTTAATATAAAAGTTGTCTTTATTTAAATTGTCTTTGAACACCAATATCATAAGTACTCTATAGCTAGCTAGCTCAAGAAGCATGCTTGTGAAGTTAGTTTTTACTCGGATCCAAGCCAGACATTCTACATCAGAATGCCATCAAATGCATGCCATTCCTCCTAAAGGGTTAGTAAATGTGAACGGGTCTGTAAGAGGCGGGGAAAAAAATCAACGTCCTAACATATATGTGATGAATATAGTAGGGGCAATCTTAAGTTAGTCATTTTAACATGCTTAGCAATATTATCATATTGACACCTAATAAAGGCAATAGATCTGAAACTAACAAATAATCATTAATGTCTCTCCAGACATCCTCCTCACCAACCATTCTTTCCAGGTGCCAACATTAGATCTACAACATAACGTGCTCTGGCGTGCCTATAGCAAATACGTCATGGGCAGAGCATAGATTTGTACAAAACAATGAACTACTTCTAATATCTCAGGAGTCTGACTAATCCATATTTAAAACTGCATTTTCTCCACTTGCTCTTTTTTTCTAATTTCACTAACATTACCACTGACCTCTTTAAAACGGCTGTGCCTAATTCATCTGTATATCCTTAGTACTGAGCCTAGTACCTGGTACATTAGCAGGAGCTCAATATTTTCTGAATAAATGTAAGGGCTACTAGCTAAATTTTCTGTCATTTGACTTGAATCTCTGCCAATATCATGAAAACAAAGAAAAACATTTTTAGGCAATTTCTATGTAAATGGGTTAATAATTCAATAAGAAGTCTGAAACGTCCTTCATTCTAATGAGTCCATTTAATTTTTTTTTCTTAAAAAGCAGATAAGCCAGAATAGCTTGTTGTGGTTTTGTTTTTACTGATTTGTCAAGATTATCATTACTCGGTGAAAACTTGTTTAATTGTCAAAAATATTTGAGAAACCTCAATGAATGAATTACAAAGTGTCCTGGAAAATCTTACGACACCTTGACCATAAATTCCATGTATATTTCTTTTCATGTAAGTCTGGTCACGGGGTATTTCTCTTTTTGTGATTGAGCGCAATTTCTCAATTTCCTATTTGTAATCTTTCACCTTCTGTATCTTTCCTGTTTGCCAATTTTTAATCCTTACTGACTTTTGTTCATTATCAAGCCCAATACAGAGGAGCTCCTCATGAGAGTGTTAACAGCTATAGGTGAAAATGGATTAGCAGATGCTCTTTGAATCAGTTTTCATGGTCTTATCAGGATGAAAGTGAGAGTGGAATTTTAAGAACCAGAAGCATGACAATTCTTTGATACCTTTGGAGGAATTTCCTAACAAAGTTTTCCAAGGAAGAAAAAGATATTGGCTAAGTACCAAGCAACATTTTTTTTCTCTTCTTGTTTACGTACTATCTTAATTGGCAACTATTAAAGGCTTTTATACATATCTAAACTAAAAGTATATATTAAGTCCTGCTAGTGTTTTAAATAGTATATCAAATATTTACCATTTGCTAAGTAGCATTTAACTGAACAGTTAATGAAGGATATTTATCTGAAATAAAGTGACAAGAGGTAATTTTTTAGGTAACAAATTATATTTTGTTTTTCATATCCTAGTGAATAGTCTCAACCCTAAATCAACAGAGATTTCATTACTCTTTGAATGTCATCTGATGAGGTCAATGTTTTATGAACTGCTGTTCTAGTATACAGCCAGGCCATGGAAAGAATATCAATATGAAACTGCAAAATCAGTTCACAATTTTATTTTATTTTTTGTGAAGAAGATCAGCCCTGAGCTAACATCTGTGCTAATCCTCCTCTTTTTGCTGAGGAAGACCAGCTCTGAGCTAACATCTATTGCCAATCCTCCTCCTTTTTTTCTGCCCCAAAGCCCCAGCAGATAGTTGTACATCCTTCTAGTTTCTGTATGCGGAACGCGGCCTCAGCATGGCCAGACAAGTGGTGTTTTGGTGCAAGCCCGGGATCCGAACCCGGGCCGCCAGTAGCAGAGCATGCGTCCTTAACTGCTAAGCCACGGGGCCGGCCCTCAGTTCACAATTTTAAAGCCGTCAAGGACCTGATGGGTTAGTGCAGAGTTCCTCAACCTCGACACTACTCACATTTTGGGTAGGATAATCTTTTGTTGTGGGGGGTCTGCCCTGTGCATTTTAGGATGTTTGCAGCATCTCTGGCCTATACCAAATGGATACCAATAGCACCTGTGCTCACCACACCCTTCCTTGCCCAGTGGTGAAAACGAAAAATGTCTCCAGACAGTGCCAAATGTTCTCTGGGTGGGAGAATGGGGGTGGGGGTGGGGGGATGGGGGCAAAATCACCCTTGGTTGAGAACCACTCAATTGGGCTGGTCCAATTTCCCTCCTACAGATGAAAAACTCAAAAAAGAAAAGTTTGGGACTTTGAAAATTTGAAAGACAAGTTAGAGACTTAGAGTCATGCAGCTAGTGGAGAAACTAGCACTAAAACCTATTACTAGTCAAGACTCCTATTCTACTATTGTCATCGTACCACCTTGAAGTGGTATAGAAAGGTTATTGCTACCATTGTGTGAACTGACATTGTTTAAAGTCTTTAGTAACTGCACATATTCAAAGTCATCGCAAAAAATAAACCAAATGCCAAGCCTGACGAACACCTGTTTTTCCATGAGAAACTGTTTCCAAATCTTCCTGCGATCTGACTATGGGTGCCAAATTGAAGTGCAGTCTTGACACCTATAAACTACTCAGCCTTACTTGTTGGTGAGAGGCAGGAAGTTTGGTATGAAGACAAAAAAAATCCAGATTTTATTTTTTTATCTCAGAACAATGACACTAACCCAGACTGATTGAAGACACTAAATCTAGCCTTCCCAAGGTTGCCTTCACTAAGAGACCAAATGGAACGTCATTTAGCTGCAACGAATTTCTAATTTCCATTTTTAGTGAATGAAATTTATATAAAGTGCTTACAAAAATGTTTTAAGAACTTTATAATATTGTAGTACTTTGTCATTCCTCCAAAGCGAAAGGTGTAAAAGATTATGGAATAGCACACAAAAATAGAATATATCATGGAAGAGGGTGAAAAGGAAATTATTTTTATGAGGTTATTACATTTATTGATGTCCTTCCAGGAAAAAGGAATCTTAAATTATTCTACAATATTCTGGTTTCCACCATCTATCACTCTGGAGACAAAAAACAACATCAGGCAACACAGTAAATACTAAAAATTAATTATGAAATTGAAGATGGCTAAATGTTTTACTGAGATCTTCTGCTGTGGGATCAAGCTCCACCCTCTAAAAATCATTTCCAAAACTGGTTTAAAGCCTTATCTCACAGGCCGGAACGAGCAGGCTGTTTGCAGATATATAGTACTTGTAAGAACTCAAACATCTCTTAGATTGAGATGATCAAGAAATAGCTTTTTGTGTTAGGGGCAACGTATGGTGAGAAGTGTAAAAACTCTCCACAGGAACACTCCTTCCAAACCCCTGTACAGAGACTTGACCAAATTTTAACCCGGCCTCTGGGAGCCTAAGGCTGAATCCCTGGGGTGACCCAGCCCCGTCTGGGGCTCCTGTTTGGAAAAGCTCAGGGCTGTCAAAATAAACTGTTTGTCCTAGCCAACACCTAGCCAAAACAGGCCCTGACCTCTCTTTTTTAGAGCATTTACTAAAAAGGGCTTATAATTGTGAAGCCTTCCCACGTCCTTTTGAGATGTCTGTCTGTCTCCTACAACTTTCGAGGACGTGAAAGCCATTCCTTTGAAATGTAATCATCAGGAAGGACAGGGCCGTCTCCCGCCTGTGAGGACAGACTCCTAACTGCCGGTCATCAGGCACAGCTGACCTAATAGCGGTTACAACCCTCGGTAACTTCGCACTTCCCTGCCTCGACGCGAACCCCACGTCTCCCTCGTTCCCTCACTTGCCCTTCAAAACGCCCAGTCACTGCACAAACCGGCGTGGAGCTCGGCTCCTTTCCCTCGGTCAGCAGTCACTGAAGAAAATGTGTCACCGCTCTCATGTCCGGCTTTGTCATCTCTGACACCGGTAGATACTGGATATATTAAAACTCAGACCGCTATCAAGATAGGCCTGTCAATCCCAGAAGCTTGTTTTACGGGTGTTATCCTCAAAAGGCAAGGAAAACTCTCCAGAGTGATTGCTCGAAAACCTCACCCGCTCTTCTCTTCCCGGAGCCGCCGTGCTATTTCCTTCTTTCTCCAAACGCCTGCCTCCACCTCTCCCTAAGTATGCTACGTGCAGTCTCTGTTTTCCAGGATGGTGAGTTGCACCCAGCGGAGGTTCACTCCCTTCCACGTCTTGGGCCTTTTCTCTGTCCCCTCAGTCTCGGCGTTTCCTCGTCGAGCCCCCTTCCCTTTCCCTGACACTCCAGGACCACAGGCTGCTAATGGCCGCCTCTCCGTCCCCCTCAAACCTCAGCGTCCTCAGCACGCTGAGGCGCCCTTTCCGCTCCACACTCCACTTGCGGGCCCCGCGCCCCTTTCCGGGGCGGCGGGCGGTGAGCGGGGAGACTCTGGCCTCGTCCGGGTCGGCCATTTCGCACAGTCGGGGCGCGCCAGGCGGGCTGGGCCGCGGAGCTGAGGGCCTGAAGACGGGGCCGCCCCCGCCGCCGGGCGGGAACTCACCTTCTCTGAGGCAGGGGCGGGCGTCTACAACTACTGTCCCCCTCCCCGCCAACGCCGCCGGCCGGGGGATAGGCCGAGGTGGAGGTGGCGGAGAGGCAGGGACAACCGCTGCCGCCACCGCCGCCTCCGCCGCCAAGCAGGCGGGGCGGGGGGAAGAGGCGGAGACCGGGCTTCCCGAGGGGAAGTCTCCGCCACCACCGGCGGCTGACTGGACGACGCTGACGCCATGGCGGCCAGGCACGCTATTGCGCGTGCGCTAAGTCGCCCTGCTCCCAGAAAACCCCTTTGGCCCCGCCTTCCTGTTTGCTCCGCCCCCTCCGCCCGCCTTTTCCGGGGCTCGGCTCCAACCTAGCTCTTTCTTCTCAGTGCTGTACCCTCTCGTTGGAAAAGAGAAAAGGCACGTGGTGCCGCTCACCTTAGGAGAGTGAATCTAAAACCAACTTAGAAAAAAAAGTCTGGAAATCTATGGATGCCACCTCCGGAGTATCTGGAAAATACGTCATCTCTTGCTTTATCTTTCTTTCCTTTGCTAGGGCATTTAACACACAGAGTAATCAAAATCCTTGGTCATGATACATTGTCATCCGTGGTCCATAAATGACCCGGCTGGCGGCGTTGGCCGGGAGGGGGACAGCAGTTGTGGACGCCTGACCCTGCCTCAGAGAAGGTGAGTTCCGGCCCCGGTAGTGAGGGCGGCCCTGTCTTCAGGCCTTCCATTCCGCGGAGAAAAATGACTTTTTCTCTCTCTCTCCTAATATATGTATATATGCATATGTATACGTGTACACACGCACATACGTACACCTCATTATCTCATTCCTCATCTTCCAAAGAAATCATTACTCTGGTTTGTAGTCATCGTTTCCTTACATATATATCTTTATCACGTACATGTGTGGCTAAATAAAGTTTAGATTGTTTTTGAATTTCATAAGATTTAATGTCTTTCTCTATGCAGTATTCTAGGACTTTTTCACTCAACATGTTGAGGTTCATCCAAGCTGTTGTATATAGGTGTTGAGTGCAATATTCCACCCACTTTCCTGTTGATAGGCATGTCTCCTGGTGCACCGTGCTAGCGTTTCTCTTGGGTATCCTCTCCTTTCCTGTCACATTGCTGTTGTCTAATTTCAGGTTCTCATCATCTTTGTTAGAACCATGGCAATAGCTGTGTAACTAATATCCTTCTTCTGACTTCACAACTCCAGTCTCCTCTCCATATAGCTGCCAAACAGTTCTATCTAGAAGTCATCACTGGCTCTCCACTGTCTGTTGAGGAAGTCAAATGTGAGTTCTACCTGGCTTCTGTGTACCTCCCTGATCTCATTATCTTCCTATTGCTCTCACCTCCCCACTCTGCTTTCATTTTATGATTCAGCGACATTAAACATTTACTGATTCCTGTAAGTATCAAGCTATTGCATGACTCAACTTATTGTATATGCAGGTCCCTCTTCCTGGAATGTGCTCTTTCTAATTCCTAATGAACTCCTCCGCAGAAATAAACATTATCCTGAATTCAGCATTTCTCATTCCCATACATTTCTTTATAATTTTACTACATATGTACGTATCCTTAAGTAACATGAAGTATTGCTTTGTGTGATTTAAAACTTTACATAAATGTTATTATACATACTGTTTATTCCTTTGCAATTTGTTTTTTTCACTCACCGTTATTTTTTTATATTAACACATGCTGAGATGTGAGGTTCTAATTCATTCACTTTAACAGCTCTATGACATTCCATTATATGAATATGCCATGAGCTATCCATTCTCCTATGGATAGATATTGAGTTTATTTTCCATTTTTGCTTTTACAGGCAGTGCTACTTTGACATTCTTGTGCAGTCTCCTTGTGCATACATGTTAGAGTTTCTGTGGGGGTTTACTTAGGAGATGCTACTGCTTTTTAACTAGGAGGCCTCGATAACAGCCACCTCAAAGGGTGTTGTGAAAACATATGAAGTAATGTAAGTAAAACACAATTTCAAGCATTCAAACAGTTATTTTTGCTGTTAGAGTAGCTTTTGAATGTGTATGAAACACTAGGACATAAAAGGCAATAGTCTGGTGCCAGAATGGTAAGCAGAAAAATAATACGTGTGCTTCTGAGGCTCCCTCGATACTCAACAGATTGTACATGACAGCACATGTCATGCTTTTTCTTTATCTCCACATCTCTGCTCATGCTGTTGTGTCCTTGGGCCTGAAGGACAGGCCCTTGGGCCTCTGGAAGCCTTTCCCCTTTGCCTCCTATATCTCTCTCACCTTCTTTACACACTCTTCTGTAATCCCCTCTAAATGGTCAATGTCTTGAAGACAGGGCCTACATTTTATTCATCTTTGTATCAGGGCACTGAGCATAGTGCTTGATACTGTGCTGATAAATGCATGTGGAGTGAGTGAATTTAGGAATTCTTGGGAGGAAAGCAATTTGCAGCTAAGGACTTCTTGGAGCCAAGGGAAGAAAGATGAAAGCAAGCATACTATTTTAGTAAGAACACAGAGACCAGAGACAGTGTGAGGTTTTGTCAATGATGTAATTATACAGGATTTAATGGACTATTAAGGAGACAACCTGCTCCTGTCATCCTGGAATGTGAGTGCTAGATGTACACGAGAACTTTTTCTTTGATTCTGTCACTCACAGTGATTATGAAATGAATAAATGAATCAGCCAGTGAATGCACTTGGAAGCAGGGAGCTCTTCCTGGCCTATTTAACATTGACAGGCATTAAGCTATTATTAGTCTAAAGCGGGGTTGGCAAATATTTTTTGTAAAAGGCCAGAAAATAAATATTTTTTGGCTTGTGGGCCATATGGTCTTTGTTGCAAATATTCAGCTCTGTTGTTGCAATGTGAAAGAGGCCACAGAAAATAAATAGACAAATGAGTACAGCTGTTTTCTCATAAAATTTTATTTATGGTCACTGAAATTTGAATTTCATATAATTTTCATGTGTCACAAAATATTCTTCTTTTGATTTTCCCCCCAACCATTAAAGAAGTTACAAACTATTCTTAGTTCATGGACCCAAAGCCTTGTTGACCCTTGGCCTAAATGAACCTCAGCTCCAGATATAAAGGAGATCAAATTCGGTGTAAAGGGCTATCTTTTACTAAATCAAGCCTTAGAAACAATTTAAAATCTTGCAGCTCCCTTGATTTGCCACTAGATGGTGGTCCCCGCGGGTGTGTGGTTCAGCCAGCGGGACTTTCAACACAGGGGACAATTGGAGTTTTTCCTGGATTTGGTAGATCGGCTGCCGAAGTATCAACACAGGCACATGAATTGTCCCAGTGATTCAAAACTTATCACAAACCATTACTCTGGGTTTCATTTACATCTTCACCTTCACACTTATTTGTATATCTTCCCTGAATTGCAACATACCCAACTGAAGGGAATACAATCACTCTGTCAAGGCCTCAGATTATTTGCTCAAAGGCTCAGGACAATAATATGAATACAGGCTATGGTTAAAGATTTGGGGGCTGCATTATGGAAGCTAGGAACAGATTCTACCCAAGACGCAGGTTAACAAGTGGAGTTTATATTAAGAGGATACATGAAGCCCACGTCTAAGTCTTGTGATGATTCACTGATAAATCTCTCCAAGCAGCCCCCAGTCCTGACCTCTTCAAGTCACCTTCTTCTACCCTTAAGCTGTGCGCCTGGGGACCTGGCATTCCCCTTGCTTAGCATATCCTGCAACAGTTGCCTCACACCTTCTGTTGGGTGTGGGAGTACTTGCTAACCATAGAAATGTTCTTGGCGTGTGTGTGGGGCCTGAGGTGGGAGGGAAGTTCAGTTGAAACAGAGGGAGATAGAGCTATAGTGGTCCTTCTTGTCATCCTCTTGTCTGGAATCTCCCAACTCAGACCTCTCTCCTTGACTAGGGGTCCTTCGACTTGAGCTGTCTCCATTTTTCTCCCTTTCTCACCACCTTTATCCATACACACAAAGGAAATAGACTGGATGGCTATTAAAATTATAAACAATGGAAAAAGTTTCCATCTTCTTAGAGCAGAAAAGGGCTCAGCTACAGAAACATTATTGTGAAGGTCTGTAGAGCTCAAGTCTATGATCTTTTCTTTCTTTCTTTTTTTTTTTTTTGTGTGTGAGGAAGATTGGTCCTGAGCTAACATCTGCCAATCCTCCTCTTTTTGCTGAGGAAGACTGGCCCTGGGCTAACATCCATGCCCATCTTCCTCTACTTTATATGGGACACCTGCTACAGCATGGCCTGACAAGCGGTACATCGGTGCACAGCTGGGATCTGAACCTGCAAACCCCGGGCCGCCACAGCAGAGCTCGTAGACTTAACCGCTTATGCCACTGGGCCGGCCCCACAAGTCTGTGATCTTAACCACTACCCACATTGTCACATGGTTATGTCCACTCTGGCCCCTAGTTTTATCTCTCAGGAAATGCAGAATGAATCTACTTCCAAACTTCAATGTCTGAGATTGAAGAAAACTCGCATGTCCTTCCTGAATCTTTTCTTCTCTGGCTGAACATCCCCAGTAGGGCAATAAGAAATCCTTTCAAAGCTCTAGATGTACTTTTCTTGATGCCAAGACTAGCAGTTCTCAATGGAGGCAGTTCCATCACCTAGGGAGCATTTTAGAAATGTGGGGGAACTTTTGGTTGTCACAATGATTGTTGGGTGCTACTGGCATATTGTGGGCAGGGCCAGGGCCACCAAGAAGGATTTGGATACCTGTGGGAAAAAAAAAAAAACGGAGGTGGGGGTGTGCAACAAGGGCAGACGGGCAAAAAACTTTTACATAGGATTTTTATTAATTTGCAGTGTAGCAGGGCTCTGTGCCCCCATCCTCATCACCAGCCTGATAATTAGTGCCACCATCCCCTGTCTCATTGATCCTTGCCAGAGATGCTAGATGTCCTAGAAAGCAAGGGACAGCCTTATACATTGAAGAATCTCTGCTCATCCTGCACAGCCTCAAATATCCAGATGTGCATTTCAGGTATGTGAAAACCTTGTTTATGATGAGCTGAGTCTAGAACTCTGTCTTATATGTAATCATAAAATAGTTTTTGTAAAGTTTTAATATACTGTAAGTTTTTCAGAAATGCAACTTGTTAACTGAAGGAAGATTATACTTTCTTTCAATCAGAACTTGACTAAGAGTTATTTGATGTTTCAGAAAATCATATCACACACAACAATGTCCTGTGTGGTATCTGTGCCCCCAAATCAACCTACATTTACAGCTCTCACTAGCACAGTGATTCTGCTGAGAGGAGCAAACATCTGACCACTTTATCGTGTTTTCTAGAGTAGTTGTGCCCAAGCATATGCATAGGGAACACACTGACATATTTAATTTACAGTGCATATATATTATTTTATTATAAGTTAACTTTCATTTTATTTCTCCCTTATTAGGTTAGGTTAGTGTCTTAGACCATTCAGGCTGCAGTAACAAAATACCACAGACTCGGTAGCTTATAAACAACGGAAATTTAGTTCTCACACTTCTGGAAGCTGGAAGTCCTAGATCACGGTGCCAGCACGGTCTGATGAAGGCCCTTTTCTGTGTCGCAGACTTCTTGTTGTATCCTCACATGGTGGCAGAGAAGGGCCTAGTGATCTCTCTGGAGCGTCTTCTATAAGGCACTAATCCCATTCATGAGGATTCCACCATCATAATTTAAGCACCTTCCAAAGGCCTCACCTACTAATACCATCACCTTTGGGGATGAGGATTTCAACATAGGAATTTTGGGGAGGACGTGAACATTTAGACCATGGGAGTTAGTAATTTATGTTTTTTAGTTATGAACTAGTGAATTATGTATGAATTTCATTTCAGAGTAGCAAAAGGGATGTTATATAATATTTACTATAATGAGAGATAAGTATAGTACTTTATGTGTTAGCTTCCTATTGCTGCTATAACATGTTATCACAAACTTAGTGGCTTAAAATAACACAAATTTATTATCTTACAGTTTGGCCCTTTCCTCCATCTTCAAAGCCAGCAATATAACATCTTCAAGTGTCTCTCTGACTCTTACCCTCTTGCTTCCATTGTCATATCTCCTTCTCTGACTCTGACCTCTCTGCCTTCCTCTAGTAAGGATTCTTGTGGTTTCTTTGAGCCCACTCAGATAATCCAGGGTAATCTCCCCATCTCAAGATCCTTAACTTAATCACATTCGCAAAGTCCCTTTTGCCATGTAAGGTAACATATTCACACATCTGGAGATTAGGACCTGGACATCTTTGGGGGCCATTATTCTGTCTACCACATGTTAATAATGTAATACTTGTTGGTCTGATAAGGTTGAGACTCGCAAATATAACTAAAGCACTGGGCTTGATGCTCCCTCTCTCTTTCTGTTCTTGGGGCAGGTAGATTTCTTCCTTGACCTTGGCTTTCACTGGACCTGTTCCAGGGGTACAGTGTCTGGAGAAGAACAGCCTAATCCCTGCCAGGCTGAGCTGCTGGCCCTTGAGGGAAGGCTCTGGTTATTGCAAGGCCTTGAGTTGCCAGGCACTGTGGGTCCAGGCATTCATTTGAAGCTAACCTGGATTAAAGAACTCCTTTTTTTTCTTGGGAGCATGTAATGTTTACTTTTGGGGGCACCCAACTTTAAATGTCTTAAGTTGTTTTGCTCTTTGGGATACATCAGAAGTCACCGAGATATTCTCCAGCTCTAGGGGCTATGTGTTCTTACCTAAAAATCAGGATACACAGTCTGACGAAGGATTTTCCATCTGCTTCCAAGAGTCAGAGAAGTTTTAGGAGATGCAGTTTGGTTGAAGACAGAATTTGTAGCACATCTTGATAGTTCATGGAAGATAATGTGATAGAATAAATAAAATAAAATAAAATAGTTATCATTTAATGAGTTCTTTATGAAGTGCCAAGCATGTGCTGTGTCCTTTATACCTATTATCTCGTTCGACCCTTACAGCAATCCAGGGAGGTAGAAGTGATCGCCCTTGTTTTACAGGTTCTAATTCAAAGTCATAGTGGTGGGCTCAGAATTCATATGCAGATCTATCTGGCCCAGAAGCCAGTGCTTGTGAACTCCTACACTCACAGAGATCCAGGGCACCGGGTTCTTGTAAATAGATGTATCCCCAACACTAAAAATGTTACTTGGAAGATAAGCCAGAGCTCCAGATCTGCAAGAGTTTTTTCAGCTTCAGTGAGAGCTGCCTGGCATGAAGAATGGTGGCATTTAGTTTGGTGGGGATTTTAGAATTGTCTCTCCAATGTCCTCACTCCTGGGTAAGAAGAAGGACAGAGCACATTGGTATTTTCCTGGCAACAAATACTTGTTTAAGGGAGATTTGATACAAAGATAGAAACGGGGGTTTTTATTTTCAAGGCCTGCCTTCTGTCTCTACCAGTCTGCCTCCAGCACACCTGCATCCTCAGTGATGCCAAGAGCAGGGAACTCTCAGACGTCCATACCCTGGTTGGGGTCCTGGGGGAGCCCCAGATAGTGTTGGAGAGGAGGAATGCCCCTTGGAGCCTAAATAGTACTGTTATGTAATATGCGAAAGGGGTCAGTTTAGCGTCTGCTGCTCTCTGCGAACAGTCCACCCATGGGAGAGGGAACTGGGGGACAAGGGGCCCATCTCACTTGACAAAGTGCGAGCCTGACTGCTGAAGGATTGCAGAGCAGCACACATCACCTTACCTCTTCTCTTGGACCATTTCAGCTGTCTGCTTTGGATTGACAGAGGCATCTGGCTGCTAAAAATACCCTACTGACCAAGTAAGCACTCCCTATTCCAACTACAGCTGAGCACAACTGCCATCCAGGACTGAGATTCTTCTTGCAAAGAAACTCTTCAGAAGTGTTCAGGCCCAATCCCAGAACCACACCAGCCCATGGTCATTTTCTGCTCTGTCAGCTTTGCTGGATGATGAATGAGACCCTTCCCAGATCACCGTGCCCTTGCCTGCCCCATCCCTGCCTCTAGGAAAAGTGGTGGAGGGGGAGGTGAGGACCCAGTGTCAAGAGGGGGTAGGGAAGGGGAGGTGCTTGTCCATTTATAGGCTTGCTCTTTGGGATGCTGAAGGTGTTGAAATAGCAGCCACGACAAGAGACTTGGCTCAGTGTTAAATATCTGCCGTGCTGCCTGAAAGACTGTGCGATGACAATAGAGAGAATGGAGAACGTGGAGGTCTTCACTTCTGAGGGCAAAGGCAGGGGTCTGAAGGCCGCTAAGGAGTTCTGGGCTGCGGACGTCATCTTTGCTGAGCGGGCTTATTCTGCAGTGGTTTTTGACAGGTATGAAATGTGGAGAGTTGCTTTCTTTTCTCCTGTTGGTTGGCTGGTGCCAAACTGTAAAATGCTTTGCTCTCAAAATCACCGGGAAAAAGGATAAAATCCAAGTGACCATTTTTAACAAAATGGCCCTTCTGGCAGCTAACTGTTTTCTAGCGTAAGTTTTTCTGCAAGGAGTCATTGCCAATGTGACTTGCTCTGGTCCCTGGGAGGGTTGTAAAGGTGAGCACAGGCTTTGGGGGCACTTTCTCACCGCAGCAGTGAGCATCGCTGAGTATGTGTGCTGTGTGTGGTGAGGGTGGAGGGCAAGGAGTGGAAGGTGGGTGTGGTGCTGTGGGAAACGTTTTCTCACAGAAGGCTCCATGTTTTTAGCTTCTTGGATATAATGCATATACTAGCGGATAAAGTAATGGCTGAGACTTTAAAAAAGTAGCTGTAAATACACGAGTAACACTGAAACCCATTTACCTTTGAAAAGTTGGAATATCACTAATGCAGCTGGAACCTCTTTTTACCTTTCCCACCCCCAATCCCAGTCCCCTCTGTCTTTCCTCAGAGGTAATCTGCGTTATGATTTTAATGTGTTTCCTTCTAGAATCTTCTTGTACTATTACATATATATATCTACACTTATCAAAATGTATAGCTGTATTTTTTTTTTTTTTACAGAAACAGCATCATACTTCAGATGTCACTCTAGAACTTGCTCTTTTCACTAAACAACATATTTTTGATATCTGTCCTTATGGGAACTATAAGCCTATAGATACTTCTTTTAAATCCTCAAAGATCTGTTTCTTTTACCCACCTGCAGATCTATCCATGTTGATCCATATGCTATATGGATTACCAATTTTAACTGCTATAAATATTCCATCCTATAAATATATGACATTTTATTTATCCATTCCCCTATTGACAGACAATTGATGGTTTCCAATTTTTAGTAAAAATAAACATTTCTGCAATTAAAATTCTTGACCATGAATACTTGTACACGTGTGAGATTCTTCTCTAGGATATATGGCTACAAGAGGAATTGCTGTGCCATAGGCTGGGCCGTTTTCTGTCTTAATGGGTTCTCCAAAGTGGCTCTATTAAATTCATGTTCTCATTTCCCCACAACCCTGTCCATACTGGACTTGTAGTGTTAAATCTTTATTTTTAAAAAACCTACACTGTGATTAAATTATGACAGTGTTCTCTGAGCCCACAGTTGGCATGACCTGCTTGACATTTATGTGGTCTGGATCAAGACGGCCTCTCATCATCTAGGCTTTGTGGTTGGCTCACTGTACTGACCATCCTGAGAGTGAGCACTGCTTTTCAGAGATAATTTGATTAGCATTCAAATTCTCTTTTCTTCTTGCCTACCAAGACCTTCAAGGAAAAGGCCGTGAATGGGGTACATGGCTGACTACCAACTGAGAAAGATAAGGGGCTCAGGTGACAGTAATAGCTCTTTAGAGGGAGCTTGCCTTACTTTATCAACTTACCTATGTGTGTGTCAGGAGTGGAGGTGAGTGCAGTTAAGGAGTCAGTTGGATTCAGAATTAAGACATAAAAAGCTAGAAACACAGAAACTCTGAACAGTGATCTTAGTGCTGCCACCAAGTTGCCACCTTGTATAGAACACCTCCGTTGGTGCCTCCAATTCCCCAAAAGCCAGTTTCCTTTTCAAGAATGTTTGGAATTGAGTGGGTTTTCCTTCCATTATAAAAGTAAAGCTTAGGAAGAAAAAATGTATCTTCGCACGAGGACAGTCACTCTTAACGTTGTCGATTTCCTTCCATCTTGTTTTAAAACATAGGTTTCATTTGTTTGTACTACACAGGTGGGATCTTATATAAACTATCATTTTTTGTATTTAATAATTTAGGTGTCTTCTGTGTCACTGTACTCTCTTCATAAACATATTTAACAGCTGCATGCTCTCCTACCACTCCTTTATGAGTGGACATTTAGGTTGTTTACATGTTTTTGCTACTATAAATAATTCATCATTCATTTGAAGTAATAACTACACAAATAACCTTGTGTACATTGCAGATAAAATGCTACATAAAATGTTATATTATTATTATAATAGTAATAAAGATTAGGATGACTGTGGTAAATAGTCTTTAAAATGATTGAAAAAAATCCAAAAGAGATACTTTTAAAAAGTGATTTACCCACACTTCTCACTGCAAAGATGAGGGGGCTGCTCTTTCTTTGGGTTACCTGAGACAAGCCCAGAGAGGCATCCGGTCCTCGCTCCCATTTTAGGCTCCTGGTGAGATGAAGCTACTATTGTTGAGAAACCTGACGGGGGAGGTAGGACTGAGTCACCCACAAAAGTCACTTTATAAAAGAGGCACATTCTAATCCGTGTTACTGCAAGCCGGGCTTACTGCCCTACCCTCCAAACACAAACGCAAGGAAAGATTTTATTTTCAGTTGAGCACTGCATTAAATGAAAATTAATTCTTTCAAACTATATATGATATGATATACATATAAATCTATATGTATGTGATAACAATAAATGAACATCCATGAAACCACCATCCAACTTCACTAGAATATTCCAAAATGTTTCATCTTCCCTATCTTCCCTATCTGTCCCCTTCCTGCCCCAAAGGTAACTACTACTCTGAATTTTATGTTATTTATTCCCCTGCCTTTTGAATAATAGTTTGATTATATGTGTACACATTCCTAAACAATATATAATTTATTTTTATGTTTTGTTTTTGATCTTTTAGACAAAGGTATAGTATTATATGTGGTTTTATGGCACTTGTTTCTTTCACTCAAATGTTTGTTTTATTATTCACCCATTTGGTTTTGTGTAACTAATAAAATGAATAAACTCTCTGTATGGTTGTGTGGACCACAATTTATTTTTCCGTTCTTCAGCAAGTGGTTGCTATGGACATTTTTGTTTCTATCTCTAGGTAAACAGATACATGAGGTATGAATCCTAGGAGTGGAATTATTGGATCATAATGGATGTGATATTCAGCTTTAAAATATAATACTTCACTGTGTAATGCTGACTTGCAAGTTTGAATTGTGTCTTTGCTAGAATAGACTTAGCATTCACAGCAATTATCCAGGCCCTTATGCTATAGTCCTTAGTTTGGTTAGGATCTCTTTAATTTTGCTGGTTGGAAAAACAGGTGGTCTGTTTAAAAATAAAGGAGCAAGAATAAAGCTGAGACAATCCTTTCAGGCCTGGCAAATATGTAGCACTTGGGCTACCATGATCCCTGGCAGACATGGCTAATCAATCAGGCAGTTCTTTCATCTTGAACTCCAACTTGGCCTTTCTACCAGGGTGCTCCAGGCAATGACTACCAATCAATCAAAACTAGTATTTAAAGGGAAGCCTATTTGCCATCCCTTTTAGGTGTTTTGGTTAGGTGCTGGAAAGGGATGAAGGTGAAGTAGGTGAGTAAGTCTAACTTACCAAGGAATTGTCTTTCACAGACATGGTCTTTTAAAGTGGATGAGACCCCACGGGTTGTGGATGAGCTATTAAATGTTGCTTTCTGCCGCTCTTGCTCTCTGCTCTGAGGGTTCCCAGTCCTGGGAAGGACAGTGAATAGGAACTCTGCTATACCTTAGCCCGAGTGATCTGCTTGCTTCTACACGAGGTGGGGCTAATCTGGGAATCCATGATGCTGTCTTGTTCAGATATATATATATATCTGAGCTTATATATATATATTAGCTCATTTTAGAAAATTTAGAAATTACAAAAAAATCAAAGTAAGAAAATAAAAATTCTTAGCATTCAGAGAAAATTACTATTAGCATTCTGGTATATCCTTCCAATCATTTTTTGCAAATATTATGCATATAAAATATTTTCTTGATCCTGATGATTTGTAGATGGGGTGGGGGTGGTGGGAGAAATACTACATTAAATGTATACCTTGATCATAAGACGCATCCCTAAATTCAGGATATTAAAATACGGGGTTTGGGGGGGAGTTTATTTTACAATGAAAGGAATATGACACAATATAGTATTTTGTCAATTTTAGGATAATATTTGATTTTAACATTTCTGACATCCTGATGTATCCTACAATGTATGGCTCATTATGGCTTAATAGGGAGCATTTTTATTGTTTCTTAATGGTAAATAAAAATGATGCATTTAGGGGCTGGCCCCATGGCTTAGCGGTTAAGTGCGCGCGCCCCGCTACTGGCGGCCCGGGTTCAGATCCCGGGCGCGCACAGACACACCGCTTGTCCAGCCGTGCTGAGGTGGCGTCCCACATGCAGCAACTAGAGGGATGTGCAACTATGACATACAACTGTCTACTGGGGCTTTGGGGAGAAAAATGGGGGGAAAAAAAAGAGGAAGATTGGCAATAGATGTTAGCTCAGGGCCGGTCTTCCTCAGCAAGAAGAGGAGGATTGGTATGGATGTTAGCTCAGGGCTGATCTTCCTCACAAAAAAAAAAAATGATGCATTTAATAATTGACAACATTTTAGATTCACTGTAATGTATACATTTTTTCCTTTCACAAAAGTGAAAGTGTTGTGTAACTTGTTTTTTTTTATTTCACAATATGTTGTGAGCAACTTTCCAAACATTATTGTCCTTATAAACCATTTTTAATGCCTGTATAATATTCCTTTTGTTGACTGTTGTATATCAATTTTACAAGTGCCATATTTTGGGTATCAAGATTGTTTCCTACTTTTCCTAGCAGATCTTTCCATACATCTCTGATTATTTATTAAAGATAAACTCCTAGAAGTATAAATTTTGGATTCAAAAGACATTTTTAAGGCTTTTGATATAGATTTCTCAATCACTCCATCAAAGGGGATCATACCAATTTTTTCCCATAGCAGTATAGCATTTGCCTCCCCATCCCAACTGTGGCCAACGCAGAAATCTATCTTTTACTTTTTTGTGTTTTCCAACTTAATCTATAAAAACTTATTTTAGTATTATTTTGTTTTTAATTTTTTTATTATTAGGGAGGTGAAAGGTTTT